CAAAATATATAATTTACCCATTAACGTTGTACCCAAATTCTTGTTACACACCTCTCTATTGGGGCAATATTTTACACACTTAACCTTTTAGAAGTGTGTCAATGACATACCATTTTGCTGAGCGGGCATGTGCGTGTTTAACACAAAAAAAATAAGAGCGTGAGACGGGTAAATTTTTTGTCCAAAATCTTATTTAAGTGCCATCTGTCAAAAATTAAACCAAAATAGAAATTATTTTAAAAAACAAACACAAAAATAAAGAAAAAATAAAAGGAAGAAAAGGAAAAGATAACATTTAATCAAATAAGGTAATTTAGTCATCTTCTCTATCTTTTCCTTTTCCATTCAGAAATTTCGACGATTTGTGGTGGTGTCGAATTTTTGAATCGTCATTTGCGAGGAGAAAGTTTCGAACCTCCATTGTTGGGGTTTCTTGAGTTTTCGAATCGGCGTTTGGGCGGAGAAATCTCGCAACAATGTTGGAATTTGTTTGAACGGAATTGTTGAGCTTGTTTACTGAATTAAATTGTTGTTGCTATTCTGAAATTTATTTTAACAGTTATTGGGCTTAAATTTTTGAATCAGCTGTTGGGTTTGTCAAAATTCGAACCTGTGTCAAAAATTTTCGAATTATAATTTTAAGCTGCCGGTTCAATGGATGTGGAGGTGATGTGATGAGTGGTGCCAGCTATGGTGGTGGTGGTCACCTGCGATGATGTGCAGGAGAGATGGGGGAGAAGAGAGCTAATTTAGTGTTTCTAAAAAAAAGTTCTCTTCTAGTCATAATTTGGAACCTAATGTATTTGTGGAACTAAAACCTGGTGCATTTGTAGAAAAATGTGAAATTATTATACAAAGGTTGCTCTCGACATTGGTGGTCGGAGTGGATTCTCCGACGAGTTGGGTGGGGAGTCCTTTTCTTTTTCTTTATTTTTTAAATAAAACTTGGATGGATTCTTTTATTTTTCTATTTTTAAGTTAGTGACACGTGTCACAACTTTATTCATGCGTGACCCACACATGTTTAGAAAAAAAGTGGTCAAACACAGAAGTGGTGTAAAGGTCGTGTGTGTAAAAGATTGCCCGTGATAGAGAAGTATGTAACAGGGATTTGGATGCAAGGTCGATGGATAAACTATATTTTTTGTCATGAAGGTATTGTAATTTACTAGTAGCATATAAATTTCTTGCATGACTAAAAGATTCCTAGAAAATATTAAATCTAAAATAAACTCATTGACATTACTGAAACTTAATCCCAACTAATTAATATCGCTCATCTAAGTCCTTTTTTTATTTATCGTATTATATTTTTCATTAGGTCTATATGAATCAAGAGATTGTAGTTTGTTTGATGATGTGGTAAAGGAATTGGTTATGCATTTTTTTTTCACTTTTAGCTCACGCCAGAAACTATTTATATTCGATAGTCGAAAAAAATTATAAAATTTGTACAATTTCTATATATAATATATAAAATATATAAATATACAAAAAATATTATTTTTTTTGTTATTATTTTGAGAGCGCTTATATAATGTCATGAGATTTCTACTAATGGGCTTATCTTAAAGTGAAAAGGCTTCTGGCCCAAGTTAAAGTTTCATGAAAGCAAAGCAATTTTTTAATGGATAAGTCACTGGTAGTATTTTCTTGAGAAATATATATTTTTAGTTGCTTCCCAAAATATTAGCAGATAAAATATTATATATATATATATATATATATATATATTTTATTTTTTTTATTTTTTTTTTGATTAGCAAATGTAATTAAATATGCAAACTGGCCAATTTTTATTTTGCCCTATTTTCTTTGGAAAGTAAGTTTCCTAAATCCTTTTTTTTGTTGGTCCAAAAGTCAAAGCTTTTATGAGTCTCTGTTTTAAAACTTTGTGGACAGTTTCATTTGGGCCCATCAGCACGGGGATTCTGTTTTATTCTAGAAATGTCTGGTCAATTGTTGACGCCTATTGGATAGTTCATACGAAGGATTTTTAGGTCACTATTTTTTTTTTTTTTGGTTAATCTAATGAATTCAATTTATTGTAAAAGGAAAATTCATGACATACGTATAATGCAAAATTTAGCCCATTGAGCTAGCAGAGAAGTAAATTAAAGAATGGTTAAGAAAATGACCATACAGTGCAAATAATCATGCAATTTCATGCAGATTTGAAACCGGCCAGCATTTGTACATGTAATTTAACCCTTGGATCTTTGTATACTACAATAATCATTATGTCTTAGACTAATTTCCAATACTTTTCACTAGTATATTATAATATTTTTATAGAAATAATGTGGAAACTTCTTGCTTGTGTATATAAAAAGAAGATTGCTAAGATTGGCTTACGAATATTAATTCAAAGTGATTATTCGTTGGGTCTAAATTCTGTTACGTATATGGTTTTTGGCCCATAAGTAATGAATGGTGTGAAAGGGACGACTCTTAAGCAGCATAAATGGGAACAAAGAGAATATGAGAAAAAGGAGAAAAGGCAAATGGAAAAATATAAAACCCCGTGAGGAAGTAATTTCACTTTAGTCTTTACAGCTTTCAAGTTAGGAGAATAATTTCACTTTACTGCCTTAACGTTTGGATTTCATCCAAAACTCGATTCTAATTGAAGCTACCATTTCACATACTACTAGTTATTAACCTATTTTTTATGATAGTTGTACGCGTGGTAATTAGCACACACCTAGACTATTTCATCAAAATAAGAATTATCATCTAATATGTTTTGAGTTCGCTTAGATTGAATTTGGGACTGTTTCGGTGCGGATTGCGAGAGCAGTACTAAATCGAGGCAAACTCTGAATACTAGATGTAATCTCAAAATAACAGGGGTCAAGTTCGACTAGTGTACCTCATCATTCTCATCATACTTTATCAATCACTAAGCCACTCCTTTTATTTATACTTTAAACGCGATTGCTATAATATATACTTACTCGACCACTTTAAGGCAGATCGATATTAAGAAGATCATTGCTTGCTCCTCTTTCATCACCATTGAAAGCGCCTTGTCCCACCTCGATGCTCCTTTCTCATCTCAAACCATAACTACTCTGCTGCTATTGATGTGTCTACTCCCATTGACTCTTTTTGAGTAAGATAGTAGGCGTTAAGCTCGCATCCGACTCCATAGAAGGAAAGATCAGAGTTATCCTACTCTTTTCACTCACAATCTCTCTTTGCTCACAGCTCTCCCTGTGGGTCGAGCCTCCTTTTCAGTCGCCCTCTACAACTTGCCTTCCAAGCCCTTTCACTGCCCGAACTACCAATCGCCCAACTATTTGCTAGTATGGTTCAACTCGTGATCTTCCTAAAGCCTACTCTCGTCTTTTGAATTAAGCTTCCGATTTAGTTGGTGCAGACGCTGAAGGATCAGCTGACACACCCTTGGAGGTGTATTTTTGTAGCAAATAAAACATAAATAAATAAAAAATTGACATTGAAAACTTCAACCCGCCATTTAGATCCTTTACCTACCATTCATAATTGCCTTATCCAACTATCGATCCCTCCATTATCTTCTCTGCTCCATTTTATAAATTAATGTTGCCTTTTGGATAAATTTCAAATTTATTAAAAAAGATTGTTGTGTGATTGTAATGTGATATAATGTATATAATATTTTAATGGTCGACAATAAAATTAATACCATTTTAGTTAAATCCAGTGTACGCAGTTGTGGGCTCGATTATTCTAAACTGAATGTGGTAAATACTTGGAAGAATTTATAGTTCTTATAAAATGTTAGGGTTAAAAGGTATGTTTTATGTTTTTTTTTTGTTTTGTTAAAGTGTTACATTCATATTGCATCCAATAAATATTCTCAAAATTTACTATCCAAACACCTCTTATTTTCAAAAATAAAGTTCTGAAAAATTGAATTTGCAGATATTAAAGAGACGCCACCTTTTTCACTTTTGAAAATTAGATTAAGATTCTGCATCATCCAGCTTGTTAAATCACAAATAAGTTTGGGATTGTTACACAACAGCCGGCGAAATTCAATTGTTACTTTTTCTAGCTAGTTAATTTTACACAGTTATACATATATTATATATGAATTATATATATATATATAAGAGATTATGTGAGTGACTATCTGGATTAATTCCGGTAAGCAAAAAGTTGCACCTGCAATAAATTCAGAGTTGACAATTGATGAAAAACCCTCAACTTTGATGCAAAAACTTCTCCCTCCAATTTATTTTAATTGATTTTTTTGGATGTTTTCACACATATTAAGAAATTCACTTTTTAGCATTAATTAACATTAAAATTGACCATATTAACCTTAATTTGTTAATTGAAAATATAACAATTATATATACTAGGCTCTTTATTGCAAGGGCAACTTTGAAAAAAAGAGGTTAATTCCTTCATGATATCGTAAAAAATTAAATATTGTAGACCACAAAAAATATATCAAAAAATCAATTAAAGTGGACTGAAAAGAGTAATTAGATAACATTAAAGCTTCATGAGTAACCCCCACTGAGAAGGCCAATATTCCAGGATAGAAGCCTAGCTAGGAAATAAGAAGTATATAGGAGACAAATGTTTTTTTTTTTGCACCTACTTTTTAGATCAAATTGAATAATTTAAATAAGTTGCTATTTTCAATTCAAAATAAATATCGTTTAAGATTTTATGCACCCATTAGAACATTATTTACCGTATTGATCATAAGGATTATTTGACTAAATTTATTGGAGCAATGGTAAAATTTGAAAATGAAATAATTAACACCTTCTTAATTTTCTAAAAAGAAAGTTGTACTTATTTTGAATCAACAGTTGAAGTATTTAAGGCAGCCTTTGCACCGTTGTCACATGTGTCCCTAGTATCGCAACTATCCTACAGAGAACATTGATGAGGACAACAATCACCATTTAAAGGAATTTACCTCACAAATAAATAAATAAAATTTAAAAAAGCAAAAAAAAAACCCTTCAAATATCAAGTCATTCTGATTTCTGCTGCAGTATTTGACAAGTGCAAGCTAAGGACCCTTTCGCTTTTCTCCAGTTGCTTCTTCTTTCGCTATCCAAAGCTGTATCTAAACAAACAAGAATTGAAAGGAATCCTATTCGCATTGTCGCCAAAAATATAAGAACAAATCCACTACAAAGCTGTACGTAGTTTTCATATACCATATCAACTATCTATCTATTCTCTCCCTCTCTCTTTCTTCTTTTCTCTTTTTACTTCTAATTAGGAGTTTATCGGACATGAATGAGCCACCAAAATATGGTTATCCATACCCCTCTCAAGGTCAAGGTAATAACGTAACACATCTATATGCTCCATATATGTTTTATTTATTTTATAAAAAGGCATTTCAGTATACTAAGTTTTCGCTCTCCACAAAGTGGAAAAGGACTGGATCACATTGGCTCTTATATATATATAGCCTTAGCTGCTTTTTGCAACTTGAACTCGTGACTTTCTTATTTTGCATTTCTGCAATAAGCTGTTTTGCGACTTGAACTCGTGACCACCTAGTCACATGATATAAATTTTCCTGATGCGCCAAACTCCCCTTCTTTTCATTTAGTTTAATTTGTATTTGCTAAAAACAATAGTTGAGCTGAGCATTTTTTTTTTTTTTTTTTTTAATGTTTCTTGAAATATAGGATATTATCAGGGGCCTCCTCCTCCAGTGATGGCGCCACCAACATATGCAGCTGCTCCTCCACCTCAGAAAAACAGAGGTTTTCTTGAAGGATGGTAAGCTTTGCTCCTCCTCTATCCTAAAGTTTATTGATATATGAAGAGATTCTTTTGAGATTTTTAACAAAACTAGTGTGATAAGGAAAAGCAAGAAAAAGAATTATTAGCCTTTCTGTGATATGTGCAAGGAGTAGATGATTTTTTACACTATTAGCGCACTTATAGATAACTTGCCTTTTTTTTTTAAGGTTATCAATCTCACTTTCTATGGACAATTTATCTTTATTACTGTATTTCTTTTAAGTAACATAATAGTTTAAAAATTATTTACCTGCAATGTTGTAATGTTTAAACTCTTTTTTTTTAAAAAGAAAAAAATCATTTTCGTGTGTTTCTTGTTTTAATTCTTTCCTTTTTGGCTAAAAGATGCTTTTAAGTAAATTCTTTTCTGTTATACATTTTTTTTTTTTTTTTTAATTTCGTGATTTATTGCAGCCTAGCAGCTCTGTGTTGTTGTTGCCTGATAGATGAGTGTTGCTGTGATCCCTCTATCCTCTGTCTGTGGTAAGGTGTTCGGGCTGCCAATTTCAGTTACTGCTTCTGCTTTTTACCAAAATAATAAGAATTGTAATTTAAATAAGTTCTTTAGGAACAGGGAGTTTATCGTCTTGTAATTATCTTCTTTTAATTATTGAACTCTTTTTTGTTCTCAGAGAGAGTTACCATTTCATTAATTGTATTATCCATTTCTGCTTTCCTGCATTTTTAAATGTTATTTGTACATCATGCCCCGTTATAATTTATAATTTAAGAAAATGACCGTTTTAGATTTCTTATTGATAAAAAATATATCTATTGCGGGTAAAAGTAAATCTCCCATGTGTAAAAAAGAAAGATGTAGGGTCTTAAAACTAAAAACAAGTTTGTAAAGAGTCACACCCTCTTTGTTCCCTTCTTTTTCACGGTCAAACGGATTCACTGATTAAGACCTAAATCAATTCTTCTAGAGTTTTTCGAGATATTTCTTATAAAGTTTTGTTATAGCATTTATAACCGCTTCGTTTAGGTGGGCAACCTAGCAAATACACATTTAAGGAATTAGCTTACAGACCCCCCTAACATTACACTAAACATCGCGCCTGTCCCATAGAGATAATATATTTTCATTTAGGCATTTGTTCTGTATATATAGCTCCCGAATCGATTAGTTAAAAATTTGGGATATGTGTAGTAACGTCTGTACATAAGCTGCATTAGAGGATTGATAAGTGAAAGTTAGTGACTTGTTGTAGCTTCTAAAAGTTGCTTTAAACTTTTAACCACTAAAAATGGATCCCTTTTGAGGTTATTTTCAACAATGTTAACAATCAGCAACCGAATCTTTACAATCCATCAGTGTGGTTAATCTTGAGAAAAGCTTAGAAAGCTGCAAAGTACATATAGCCTAACAAAACCAATCACACGAAGCAAAGCACTAATTATATGAGCATTGCGTGCCACTTAATTATCCTTATCTTTATTAGGCATTTCCACATTGTCCAATCGAATTGCCGGTTAACATGTCCATCAAGGAATAATGCAAAA